CCAGATGGAAAACTCTACAGACTGTCGGTTCACACCCCATCACAAGCCAGCAAAACATCCACGAAACAAAGAAAGGTCTGTCACAGCCAAAAAATACACTCCAGACACGCCGCTGCGGGATGTGACTTTGGCTGTGGGACGTGACTTTTGCCTCTGGGATATGACTTTTGACTGGGTACCAGTTGGACTTGACCTCTGGGGTACCCAACTCAACCCTTCCGAATCTGGCCGACCAGGCCTCTTGACTTGGGGTCGTTTGACCCTGGAACCCGAATCCGGGGTCTGCAGCGTGAAATGCCCTTTCACGTATCTTCGCAAAATGGAAAAAGGCTGGCCGTATCCCAGTACCTTTCCCTTTTCACCTTCCCTCCTGGTCCTTTTCTTCCTCTGCTCTTCAGGAGCCGCGCTCATCATTACAATATTGTACATCATTCCTGTCTGAGGCATGCACACATTCATGAGATCCTGCTTTGGAGGAGAGTGGACCAATCATCCCTATTCAATGCTAAGTCTGCTTGGCCTCAATCAAGTACAAGTAAATCGGTCAGCAATTGCAGTTTTTGTACTTCTCACACGGACACCGCCTCAAATTGCAATGCTGATGAAGGCAGAGCCCACACTCTTTTGAACTGTATTCAATGTCACTGCCTCAGATCCATGAGGGCTTGCCAAGCTTATGAAACACCCCACTCTGGAGGAGTATCAAAACCATTGAAGACCTCACACTCACAATGGGACCATACACTTGACAGGCTCAACAGGGTCAAGGCAATGAAACATTGTCAGAACAATGGTCAGAAGCAGGAGATGCAGACTGAAACATAGGTTCTCGAGTCTCAACTAACCTGGTTGAATTTAGAAAGTTGGTCAACAGCATCATTTCCGACCAGTGCCTCCCCAACAAAAAGCACCTGCAGAAAACAAATACAAATCATAAGCACGAATCACGAAGTCGAGTACAAGAAGCAAATGCTACTGAAACAGTGAAAGCAAGCCAATAGTAAAGCGGCGGCAACACTGGAAACATAATCTGCAACCTAGCAAAAGCATGCGACAAACCAGAATTCAAAGGGATTCGATCAACTGCCACTTTTCGTCAGCTGTTATGCCCTCTAACATTTCGTTTATCAAAGCAAAAAGGACAGAAGCAGGAAGCTGAAATTGACGGTCTGAAGGCAATCCACTTGCAACACTGTCCGCACCTACCGTGTTCACCCGAATAGAACGCCTGGTCATTATAGCTGCATCTAGACCGAAAGTTACACCAAATACCGCTAGAATGACCGGACGTTCTATTCCGGTGAATGCGGTAGGGTGACTGCCACTACCGCCGATCACATCTGAACGGTGCTGTTCATCAGCGAGTCTTCAGCAAGCACCATTGCACCATCACCCCTGCTGTCATGTCATCCTGCAAGGCAACACGGTGCCCCGGTGCACAATGTGGCACGCTGCCACCATGCCATGATTGCATGATTCAAGATGGCACTGCTCCATTCGGATGGTCCTGGAGACAAGGACCAAGGGTGCACCTATGGGACATCTCTCAGGACCAGGAGCAGATGGCCAGACTCCCAAAGGAAAAGCTTGAGAAGGAACACATGACGAAATCTCATACAGACGCAGCGAAGACGCAGAGAACACATTCCACAATTTTCTTCGAAAAGGAAAGGGAGCCATACTGAAGCAGCGGCAAAAAGTGTGGGGAGAAAATATGTTGTGCCCATTTCTTTCTGAGTCTAGGGAACCACATTAGGAACACATAGAAAGAATGGCACCACATTAGGAACACATAGAAAGAATGCATGAAAAACTACTGACCAAGCCAATTCTCAAGAGCCTTCGTCAGTCAAGTGGAGAAAGCTCACCAACCACTGGAGATGGAAGATGGGACCTGCAGACCTGGTCAGAACTACAGGTCATCATTTGCACAGAACATGTCAAACAGTGCCCTATCCACTCCGCAGCAAGAGTCACTTGCCGACTCGTTTTTCTGTTCTCTCGCTTACTTCCCACCCCGCTTTCCTGTTCGCCATATTGACCATCCACTGGCAACCTCCCACCCATCAACCCTCACCCTCCCACCTTACTAGGGAGGGGAAAAAATGGCAGCCTACACCCCACTCTTAATGCATGCCATCTTGGCTGCCAGAGTCCCCTCCCCCTTCCCACAGCCTACCTCCCATTTGTAATGCCATCTCGACCGTGTGACCCCATAGTCCCATCGGCATGCATACCCCAACTGCCAGAATATTTTTCAACCCGATCCAGCTGGCTACCATTTCAACTCCTCATTGTCCAATAAATCCCCACATCCTATAGACTATATAACCAATCCCTTCAATCACTAACACATCTTGGGCGAGCTTGACACATATACTCATAATCTCTGCTGCCCGCGGCATTCACCCCCACCTCAACTCCAAAACCCCTAGCGCTAGCCCACAATTCCAGCAACATACTCACCAAATCAGGTCCATTGAGGTTGATGAGCTTGGAGAGCGCTCGCATCAATGGCTCATTATCCTGCAAAAGGAGCATCAGGACGAAAGTGAACACGAGCTGACCAGGAGTTGGGGGTTTCCAAAAAACTTGCTCAAACTCCAAGGAGATCTGAAAAGTAGAAAGGGGGCAAAAGAGGTTCAGTGAAGTGAAGCCAATTTATTTACTTTTTTTTTCTTTTTCATACCTCAGTGAGCTCACCTTAAACTTGGTCAGGGATTGTGGCGCCTTTCAGCCAGAAGTTACCCATACATGTACGGGCCCTACGGGGCCTTCCCGAAAACAAACAAATGTATCTGTGCGGAATGCGTATGGGGGCATGTCCAAGTCGTACGCACAGCGCCAAAAAAACCCAAAAAAAAAAAAAAAAAAAAAAAAAGAAAGAGATGTGTTGTGGCCTAGAGAAATACAAGCAATGTTTGGCCGAGCACGATCACAAAATTCGTAGTCAAATTCGAGGAAAATTTGGAAAAATATAAAAAACACAAAGCACAAATGAAGGGCGTAATTAGAAAACAAAAATCTAAAAAGATGAAAAATCTGAAAAAGGAGATACTCGATGCCTCCCTGTTTCCAATGCTGTGGTATGCGGGTACAATTGGGCCCGCTGACCTCAGTCAACACACTTGTCCGAAGGCCAGCCAAGGCCTACCTATGGACATGCCACCCTGCCCATCGGCACTTCATACCCAAGGTCACATGGCATTATGTAGTGCTCCCAAAAAATCAAGGGGGGCTAGGAGTGAACGACCCGGAAGAGCAGATACAAGCACTTCAAACCAATGGATCTCGGAATCGCTGCTGCAGCCAGAGCTTCCTATGGCCAGCTGGAGACCTTCCACATTGCACGACCAGGTGAGTGGACTCCACCTCACCTCAGCTCTTCCCAACCTCCACACTGCCGTCCCGTCTCCTTGTCACCTGCCCCGGTCTCCCTCTACCAACTGAACTGCCCACACTCTTCTCACCTCCCCAGGCATTATAACTGCCCACACCTGGGGTTGCCCACAACGCCAATGCGGGAGAATGAGAAGAATGTGGGCAGGTTATTCTTTTGAGCAAAACGTCCAGTGGGAATGCTGGCATCGATGGTTGGCAGCCTCCCAGGCTGTGCGTCGAGCAGCCGCCCACCCCACTACCGGCGACAGGCCCAAAAACCGGCCCTTCGGGCCGGTCAGCCTCACCGTGGAAAAAAGCGGCAGGCCGACCTGAGCCTACCAGCCGACGGTGGGCGTGGCACATCTTCGTTGGGCTCATCGACGGCGGAGGGTAGCCACATCCGTTGCCAACAGAGCAGCTCCCACTGCTGCACGTTCTGAACTGGTGCATCGGAGATTGCTGAGCACCTGCGGGGTCCGCGACCTCCATCAGCTTCTGTTCGCCCTCCACAACCTCCCTTGGCCAGCAGTTGTCCATGAACAGTTCTGTCACGGATGAGCTGCAGAGAGAGCTTGACCAGGCGGTTGCGTCTTTCTTTTTCGAGAGCGCCATCGCCTTCAATGCCACAAGAGCTGATTCGTACAAGAACATGGAGAGGATCATGAACGTGGCAGCTAGATACAGGAAGATATTGAGAGGGCGAAGGCCCTGCCCACGGAATACAAAGCCGTGGATGCTGGTTTCGCCAAGATCCGTGAGTCGTGGGATGTCACAGGCCTCACATTGATGACGGATGGCACGACAACGACCAGCAGCAGGCCGGTCGTGAACTTCATTGCGGCAGATGATTCGGGGGCCGTCATGGTGAAGAGTGTGGATATGGAGGGGAAAGACAAGTCTGCTCCAGCTTTGGCGAGGATGCGGGAGGAGGCCATCAGGGAGTTAGGGGTGCATAGGGTGAATGCCATCTGCACCGACTCAGCACACGTAATATGCCACATGTATTCAAAGCAAAGAATATAGACATACAACCACATGCAGATGCAGATGCAGAGCCACCAACTCACCTGCATTCTCCCTGCAGTGTCCACAAGAACTACATCTGTTTTATTTCTCACCGCCGCACGTATTGCGTCATTCGCAACAACTGCGGGGTCCTTCTCATACCCCCTCTCAAACAGCTCAACCTGGGGAAAACGTACAACAAATTTTAAGAGGGAAAAAAAAAAAAACATCTGATCAATAGCCACCAAGCAAATGGCGCAGATATACTGCCAATTGCATCAGACTGCAGTGCATTGATTACAAAAGAAGACAAACAAAAAGACAAAAAAGAGAAAAAAAAAAACACCACTTTTGAAGAACAGCATCAGGACAAACCCCAATCCGAATATGCAGATTGTTGAACTGGATCGTTCTATAGCCTTTTCTGGGGTTTATTGCCTATTTTTGTACATGCAATCTAGGCCGTTTTTCTTGCCCGGCCGGGCAATTGGGCGTGTCCCTCCTGGCCTACCCAGGCATGGAAATAAGCGGGGTCAATTTTCTTCTTTCTGTGTGGTAGTGGGGGTTTTCCCACGCATGCACAGAGCAGCCCAAATCCGCACTTTTTTTTTCTCGAGTTTTGGCTGTCGGGGGGAGGGGTATCAATTGGTTTTAAAGAGGTTTAAAAGGGGGTGCCTTAGTCTGATTCTGTTGTTTTCTTTTTTTTTCACCTTTGATTCAGAGAGGAATCCGGATGTGACCCTCAGTCAAAGTCAGTTGCATTGCCATTCTACACTATACACTTTTTTTCCGGAACTTCCTGATTTTTCTTTTCTTTTGTTTTCTTGCACTGGGGCTGCCTGGAACCCTGTTCGGGGGTCATGCTCAGCCAGGCACCCAGGCATGTATCCCGGCACTAGTCGGGTGGCTGGGCACCTGGGAAAACACCCTAACTCGTAGTATTATTTTTTAACTATTTCTTTTCTAAGTTTCCATAGAGGAGAGAAGGTTAGGTGAAATAATTCCCAGAGATTTGACTTCTGCACGTCTTCGCTCTGATGGCCTAAGACTAAAAGACCAAGCAAGTAATAATGCAGGCACACCAACCATTAAAAAAAAAATGAAAAAATGAAGAAATGAAAAAACAAAAAGGACAGCAAGGAACGAATCGGCCATACACTACATCGTACGCACTGCAGTTACAGTGCAGTGCAATTGTTTCATTTGTTGACTGCTCCAATGTTCTTCTCAGACCCGAAAAGGCACATACTTCAACCACAATACAATGCACATGAGGCAGTTGGTGCTTGGAGAGAGAGAGAAAGAGAGAGAGAGAGAGAGAGATGGCACAGCACGTATACACCCCCCTCTTTGTGTCTCGCTGCATCTAGTGACGATAATATTCTCTCATTTCCATTTTACGGGCATTCAAGTGCATTGAGGAAACGCCTCCCTCCCCCACCTTACCCTTCCACTCCCTCCCACCTCATGCTTGATTTTTTTTCACTGCCACAGGGCACTATGTAAGCAGGACTCTGCCATATAGCCATATGCAACCAGGACTCAAACTTCTTCCTCCCCCCTCCCGGCTTTATTACTGATCACTCTACCCCGTGCACAAATGCAATCAAACCCAATCTTCATCCCGTATAACTTTCTTAGTCTTTGTTCGTCTTCCTCTTTCCCCCGAGTTTGGTCGTGCATTACACTGCCATGTATCACAGTTCTAATCGATCCTTTGAGACCCATTTTTTCTCCAGCTGCTACTGCTTCGTGGGTACGTGGCTAGGCCGGTACAAGTTTCAGCCATGACTAGGCCCTGGTTGGGCCTGTATACAATTCTGCCATGGTTAGTCCCTGGTTAGGGCCTGTCCGTGCCGTGCTACTACAGTCTTTTCTCAGATAGAAAGAATGCCTCTCTCTCTCTCTCTCTCTCTCCCCCAAACATACTATGGGATACATCGAGGAACACACGGGTGCTCCTCTCCCAACTTCCCTCTTGACACTATCAAACTCTTCCCACTTAAAAGCCAGGAGAGTCCTGGGCCAGTAGGCTCTCAACGCCTTTGCAAGAATGCACCACCTCAACACACACTCTCTTTCTTTGCAAGTATTTCCGAAGGCAGTGGATGCCCCTACAGACCTAAAGCCTCTGCCACTAGGGGCTCTCCTCAGCATGCCGATTTTTCTGACTATGGACTAGCAGGCCTGCCTGTTCAGACAAGAACTACTATGTTCTCCTGGTCACATTGACAGGCAGAACAGGAAAGAGAAAGAGGAAAAGGGGGGGAGAGGGATGACTCTGTGCTTCTGTCATAGCCCAGCTGCCAGGCTCACAGCCCAGTATCAGTTCGCTACAATCTAAGCCACATGCCACGAAAGCCTTGATATTGAGGAGCACATCATGGCAAACTAAACCAGATGCCAGCCAGACCAGAAGTTGATTGAGATACACTGCCCAGGGAACTGACGAGTGTTGATGGAAAGAAAGAGAGCGCACACGACAGAGCAAGAGAAGGCACAATAGGAGTCGAAGAGCTAAAGGATCGTTCGAAATGGAGAAATGACGGATCTTTTCTTATCGTTTCTTAATCTTGAGTGGGCAATTCTCATCAATCATGTGGCATACGTGGATATTGCAGCCTTGTTATATAGGCACTCTCACGGGCGTTGGTGATAGATCAGATGTGAAGTGTCTGCTTTTGACAGATCGGATCAGGCGCAGTAGCATCAAGTTATCACACAGCAGGACTGAGAAAATTGAAAACCACGCCAAACTAAGCGATACTAAACCAGATGATCATACAACCATCATCGTCATCATCATCTTAAAAAGAAGCATGCAGGAATGAGTGACACAATGACAGAACTCTCAACATAAACGACATGAATCACACTTGTCGAGTCTTCGGCAACAGCCCTCCTCAAGAGAGGCAGTTAACAGAGCCCCTAAATTTCAGGATTTTTTCAGGGTCAATATAAAAAACGTCCCGCACCTTTTAAGCCAGACTTGTCACCAGTCCATAGAGTGGACGCCAAATAAACCAACAGCAAAAAAAAAGGTTAAAAAAAATCATCAAAGGGGCTTTAAAGCACAAGGCAAAGTGTGTTTTCATGCAAAATTCATTCTTTTTCAGTTTTCAGGATTTTCAGGATTTTTCAGGGCTAGCCAAAACCGTCCACTCCAAGACCTCAACAAACACCAAACTTGGCACACACAGACCTTGACCAAAAATAAAACAGGGCAGGGGAAAAATAAAATAAAATGATCTCCAATGCACTTTTCAGGGTTGGGGGAGTTAACTGGGGCTGAAAAGTGGGGTCCCCTGTTAACCGCTTAATCTCCTCCAGGGCCTTTCACTCCAGCATATACAACCATTTGGCTCCGACCAGCTGATTTCATTTCATGGTTCCCTCCACTCAACAAAGCATATAAGCTACTTGACGACTCATAAGGAGTATTGACATCCCTAACAATCACAATCTGATGACTTCATGAAGTTATGAAATTGCTTCAACTTGGTCCCTTCTCCCTAACTCTGTTTTGGCGATTGGCAATCTGGGAGTATACTTTCTCAACTTCTACAGATGGTCCATGTTGCTGGAGCGATCAGCAATGAAAGAGAGGGCGAGGAGCTCAAAGCACAGCCACCCAAGGTGAAAAAAAAAACAAATCGATGGCAGGTCCCGATTGTGCTATGCTATTGCTAAGCAAACATTACCTGACCCATGATAGTTTGGCATAACTTGGCAACGCCGGACACCAATCGTGATTGCAAAATGCAGGTTGCAACAGAGGCACTCTGACAGTGTCATCGTGATCACAAATTGCAAGCACCAGAGGGGCGTTCTGCTTACCCAGGTCTGTGAACCAATCTGAGGGAAAACCTGAGATGCCCCGGAAAGGAAAGCATTCTACACGTTTTTATTTCAGACGAGTTCACAGACCTGGTTTAAGCAGTCTGTGGTGACCATGAACAATAGGAAGTCTTGCCGACTTAACTACTCGAATACAATGGACAAGACATCACAGCAAGCCCATCAGTGTGACGTTTTGTGAACGCCTCACTCCACTATACACACCTGTTTCTCTTATTTGCTTGTTTTAACTCGTCAGCTTCAAAATAAACATCTACTGAGTGGTCTCCTCACAGACAATGACTTCCATTGACATATGCATAAATTTTGAAAAAAGGAATTTTGGAGCGAGTCAGCTCTCTATGATTGGTACCTGCAGGCGACGGGCATGCGTCCGCAGCTGCTCCACAGCTCCAGAACGAAAAGTATCACATGCAGCAAGCATCACACTGGCATCGTGCTGCAAAAGCCAATAAGCTACCTGTGCAAGCAAAAAACACACATTTCATTACTCTTCACTATCCACTCAACATCATAGTTGAGAAAGCAATCACCTGTCATCCAAGCAGCACACAGAAGAGCAACTGGATCATATGAGGTCAAGGAACAGGGCAGCTGCACCACCTCTCTCTCTCTCTCTCTCTCTCTCTCTCTCTCTCTCTCTCTCTCTCTCTCTCTCTC